ACCTATATCAATACGTTGGAGCATCACATCAACGTAGTATTCAGTGTTCAGTGCAGTCAGCAGGGTCACATGATAGATGCCAGTGACAGCGTTAGAGAGAATTCTGACTTGCTGCTTCTAAATCAAAGCTGTGAACCTCAATGAAATAAAAATATTTTCAGAATACATAGTACTGAAATATTTTTGGATAAAGTGATAAGTAATGTAAGTGTCTTTGAAGTAGTCTGGGAGTAGAATGTGGGTGAAATAATACTGGTTATGACTTTAAGTTGTTGAGGCTGAGTGAGGGGTATACAAAGAGTCGTATTTATTTTCTACTGAAGTATTTTAGAGTGTCTAATAATCAGAAATTCTAGATTTGGATATTATTTTTGTTTGTTTGTTTGTTTTTATGTGTGATCCAGAACATATACCAGAGCTTACCATCATAACCATTTTAAGTGAATAACATAATTGGTAATAGATTCTTGTTTCAAAACAGACCTCCAGAACATTTTTAATCTTGCAAATCTGAAACTACCAATTAAGCAACATCTCTTTTCTCTGTTCCCATACCCCTTGTAATCACCATTTTCTTTTTTCTTTTTCTATAAATTTGATTGCTTTAGTTAGTTAGCTCTTGTAACTGGTATTATATAGTTAATGTCTTTTGATTATTGGCTTATTCACATAGTGCAATATCCTCAAGGTTCATTTATTTTATAGTATGAGACAAGATATCCTGCTTAAGATTGAATAATAGTTTGTAATAATAGTTTTGTAATAGATTGTATCTCTATTCCACATGTGTTTATTCATCCACCGATGAATACCCGAGTTTCTTTTACCTCATGACTATTGTGTCTTGGGTTATTAGGAACATGGATGGGAGCATAAATACCTCTTTGAGATGCAACTTTCAGCTTTTTGGGATGTATACTTAGAAGTGAAATTGGTGGGTCATATGGTAGTTCTGTTTCAGACATTTTTGAGGATCATCCTTACTGTTTTCTATAAGCGGTTGTACCATTTTACAGTTTCACCTGCAATGCCCGAGGGTTCCAGTAGCCACAGTGCCCACTGTTGTCAACAGTTTTGCTTCACTGTTTCTAATGGTAGCCATTCCATTCAGTGTGCTTTCTCTTTGTGGGCTTGATTTCTATTTTTCTGGTGACATGTCATCTTGGAAGAAATGTCTGTATAAGTCCTTTGCCTATTTTCGAGGCATTTTATTTGTACATATATTTCACATTCCTAGAAAAAGAGTCCCAAGATTCCCCTCTCTTGTCTGTTTTAGTCTTTGTGATTGTCTTTCATGTATTGAGAAAGCTTAATTCTATTTAATAAAAATAAAATGTAAGACCAGTGGAGATGATGTAAGTAGCTTAAAGACACTTGGAAATTAGATCATTGTAACAGTGTCCTGTCACACATGTGATACGTGGGTGCTTTCAGTAATTTTTTTTTTTTTTTTGTGTGTGTGTTTAGCAGGGTCTACAGGGCCTCACTATGTAGATCAGATTTGTAGTGATCCTCCTGTTTTCAGCCTCCCAAGTGCTGGGATTACAGGCGTGCGCCACCTCGCCCAGTCTCCATCACAGTCTCAGCATGGTCCGGGGGCGGGGCACACTTTAAAGCAGGAGCTTTAGTTTGCTGAGCTATCAGGCTGGCCCTTTGCTTCCAGTAATTTTAAGAATGCTTTGAAACATAGAAGAGAAGTTTTTACAGTGTAAAGGTCTCACAGTAATTTCATCTTTTTTTTAAATTTTTTTTTTCACTTTTTATTTTTTTATGCTAGAGAAGGGTCTACAGGGTGTTCAGGGTCTCACTACTAGATCGGACTCGGGCTCATAGTAATCTGCCTTTTTACAGCCTCCCAAGAGCTGGGATTATAGGTGCACACTGCCATGCCCAGTCTCAGTTGCTATCTCGGCATGCCCTGGGGGTGGGACTGGCATGGCAGGCCCAGAGATCAAACCTCCATCCCCTCTGCTGAGCTATTTGGCTGGCCCTCATAATTTCATCTTCAAGGCACTGGCAGGACCAGTGTCCGGTCAGGATCCTATCTGTGCTTCCCAGATGGCACTGTGAGTGCTGTGTCCCCCATGACAGAGGTGGGAAGGCAAGAAAGGTAGAGGACACTATCCGCACATGGCAGAAGGGCAAAAGAAGGGACGTCCAGCCCTCAAGCGTTCTGGTCTTCATGAAGGCTCAGTTCTCATGACCTGATTACCTCCTAAAGTCCCCACTTCTTTCTGAATGCTGTCTCACTGGCAAAGTTCCAACAGACCATGACTTAGTTGAATTTTGGGAACACAATTTAGACCAGACTGTCTAGTAATGGAGCTTTCTTAAATGTTGCTTGCTGATTTCTAATAACTACAGAGGGAAACTAGTAAAATACTAGTGGGCAGTTAGAAAAGTACCTGCCATTTCATCTGTGAGAATCTCAGCTGTTTAAAATAATTTTTATAATTCTTAGTGGCCTTTATTGTTTACAATACGGGTGGTGACATTTTGCGGGATTCAGTTGTACATTTTGCATGGTAAGATTCTTGCTGTCCACTACAATGCCTGACATAAGAGACACTCTGTAAATGTTTTCTGAATAAATGATTATTTGACCAGTATTACTCTTTGTGTGGTTATCTTCTTTAGGAAAAAACAAAAACAAAAACACTTTTGTTTGGCTAGTACATCTCTGGATGATAAGAATGAACTTACGTGGTAGTTCAGAAATCAGAGCAGAGAAAAAAGAAAAAGTGATGATAGATTCTTCCACTAGAAAGGACAAATGCAGCTAAACTTCAAATGATACAACTTCATTGGTTTTCTACTTGGAGACATTTCACTGGGAATTTTCCCTAATGACATGATTTGTTCTTGTTCTTATTGAATTAGGAAAGTATTTTTAGTTTCATTATTATGATGAGCTGCATATATAAATGTCAGTGCTAGTAGCTTAGTATTTTAGTCTTCCACAGATTGATGTTTGTGGCATCTGGACATTTTTTGTCCTGTTCTTGTTAGTAAGGTCTTAGTGATGTTCAAGGAACAGCAGTATGTGGCCAGTAAAGAAAAAAGAACATTATGGGGCCACAGAGGAGAGTGATCGACGATGCAGAGTGTGCCTAAGGAGAGTCACATGGAGAGAAAACATTCTCTCAGGCTTTCACAGAGAGCAAATTGGTCATGCAATGGCCATGACTTTTCCACATGGCTGACACTGACAAAGGATCTGCAAACTGTGGTACAGGGTTTCAGGCTAAATCCTGAGGGGACTTGACTGTCTTTGTCAGATACAAAAGTTACATTTCTTGTTATATAGGTCTTGTTTTATCTTGGTCTTAACCATCCAGCAGAAAAGTATAAACGAAGTGTAAAAAGTAAAGCCATATTAATAATGCTGAGCTATTAAAGGCTCAAGTCAACAACTTCTGACATTGCTAGTCTTACAGAAACCCTACTACTATTATGGACTACTGAACTATATAGGAATATTTGCTGAATTCATGCACCTATAATATTTAAATGACAATGGAATACCCTTCTCTGACAAAACTAAACAAAAAAAGGGATACAAATGAACAGCCATTTTGTATTTGTATATTCAAAATAGGATAGATGTACAGCTACATTCACTTAATTCGATGAATAGAGAGGTTTGTTCTAATAGTGTTTGAGACAGGATATCAGGTCTGCGTCTTGTACAATGAATAACCACTAAGACAACAATATGCAGTGTCTTAATTATTGAAACTGTGCTAGTAATTGGTTTTGAAACTATCTCAGTGCTGTTTCTCAATAAAATTATTTAACAAAAACAACAAAAAAGAAAAAAAATACCCCCAAAAAACCCTCCTAATTTTCCAAGGTAAGCAACATAAGTGTAGTGCAAGAATTCCATGAGATAAAAAAAATCTAGAGAAAGATCTTTTTTTTTTTTTTTTTTCAATGTAACTTTTTTTGTTGTTGTTTCGTTTGTTTGGTGGAACCAGGGATTGAACTCAGGCCCTTGTGCTTGCCAGAGAAGCGCTTATTCCACTGAGCCATCTGCCCAGCCCTCAATATAACTTTAAACAAAGCCTTTAATAAAGTGTAAGAGCATTTTTTAGAGATAATCAATTGCTACTATTATATAACCTTACTAGATTTGCAGATTTACAAGATTTTATAAGTTTGTTGGGCCCCTTCCTCAGAAAATCAGTTTAAGGTTTTTTTTCCTCTGTTGACCCAAAGAGCCTAGTTGCTCTTAAATCCTGTGAATATATTTGCCTTATACTTTGACGGCATTGGGTCAACACCCTAGCAGGGTCTGTAGGCAATAAAAAGAGAAACTGCTCAATAAAGGATCACATTTGAAAAAATAGACTGGGCAGGAGAAAATCAGCGTTGGACCTGAGTTCAGGGCTGCGCTGTAAAATACCTACAGCTCTTCAACTTTGTCCATGACTCTCAAAGTGGATACTTTGGATTTGGAAACAGTACAGCTGAGCTGTACCTTTGTGAAGTCAAGCCATGGGTGTAGACAAATCAGTGTCAGTATACAATGTAAAATTTATCATTTTAGCAGAATATTAGCTGTGAAGTTATAAAGATTACTACATTATCCTAATTATTCAAGTAATTAAACTGTTTCAAACCGAATATGTTTGGAGAAGAATCGCTTCTGTTAAATTAGTCCCTGTGATTGATGCATTTTGGGTAGCTGTCAGAGTACCTCACTGCACCTAAATTTATACAGACTACGAGAGCTCACACTTTTGAGGGCTTTGTCCTAGTCATTGTGCACTGTGTATGGGTTAATGCTGAAAGAATTCCACATAAAGAAGATACATTTATTTCTCTGAATTTGTAAGTGTAGAAACTGAGGCATAAAAAAATAAATCAGTTGTCCAAGACTACACAGCTAGTGTCTAAACTAGGGTATGATTTTGGAAAGTAAGTCAAGTGTAAACACGTTAAAAATGTTTTCATTGACTCCAATATTGAATTTTGTTCTCTTTTTAACACTTTTCTAGTTGATTTGGAGCATATGCGAACCGTAAAACCTGAGAAGCACTCACGATTTTGCCAGGAAAACGGTTTTAGTAGCCACTTTGTCTCAGCCAAGACAGGAGACTCTGTAAGTAAACTAATGAATACTATATATTGTAGTAATGTTTCTTTTATTTACTAACATAAAATAGAGTCTATAGTGTTGTAAAAAGAGAAACTGCTCAATAAAGGACTACATTTGGAAGAAATAGACCGGGCAGGAGAAAATCAGTGTTGGACATGAGTTCTTCCCTGAAAGTGTGCTTACTTTTGGAGCAAACGAATTCCTACTGAAGACATGAGAAACCTTAGGTCAGATATTCTTATTCTAATTATGTTACTTTTATGATTCATTTGACATACTTGTATTAAGGAATCTAAAAATGCAAAGATTTAAGAGTATGTAAGTCACTCAGAATCCCAGAACCCAGAGACGACCATTGATAACCTCATTTGAATCTTCTCTATCTGATGTCACAAGTACAGTGCAGGGCGTCTTCTTGCCAGGTGCTTGTAGTGAGTACTTACCTCAAGGCCTGTGATGCTCTACTCCGATGATTATCTCTATTTTATTTTTATTTTATTTGATCTTCAAAATTTTCTGCCATGACACAGGAATGCATGATAGAAATGGCTCGACATCTTCACTTGAAACACTTGGATTCACTTTCATTCACTAGTTTTTCTAAAAACATCTATTTCAAAATCCTCCCCACTTCCAACCATTATCACAGATTTAACTGACCATTAAACAGTAGTTGCCAGCATTAGCTGGAACGTGTTCTGCATATTAGTAGTGTCTTTGGAAACTACCAGTGAAGAGTATACCGATAAATCTCATGTACGTGGCAACCCCAAGGGTGACTGACTTCCTCAGACTCCCTGCTTAGCACGGAGAGCTGCACTCTCTAGGTACTTAGTGCACTTCCTCCTCCCAGCTCGCTCGGCATGTGGTGTCTGGCTTGGAGGGAGCAGGCTGACCTGATGGCGTCAGCAGCGCTGCTAACGGGTGGCTGTGCATGTCTGACCCTCACTGGAGCTCTGCTAACTATGTACAGTACATACTGAAAAAAGTCAGGTTGCTTGGAATCTATCTTCTTTTGAGGAGAACTACTTTGAGGTTTTTAAAGAATCAGTTGTAAACAAAAGGAAAGAGATACACACAGACATGCACCTATACCCAGAGTCTACATTGAGCACCTTCGGTGTGGCACGTGTCTCCTTACGTAGAGATGCACACGAGCAGAGGGTCTGCGCCTGCCCCTTCACGCACACTCTTAACCTTCCATACAACACGTGACCATAAATGCTGCTTTAGTTTTTATTTTTTGTGGTACCAGGGATTGAACTCAGGACCCTGTGCTTGCCAGGCAGCACTTATTTTACTGAGCTATTTCCCTGGCCCTATCTCTTTTATAAATGAGTTTTAAGGAGAGATTATGTAATAGTGTCTGACTTACATAGCTAATAAATGATGAAGATAGGATTTGTAAATCCAACTGATGACATTGTAGGACTCATATCTTAACCACTATAAATATTTGCTGAACAATATTAGGATAATAATACAAAAATGATTTATTATTTTTCCTTATTTATTCAATATTTTTGTTGGTAGAAAAGTGTTCATGTTACTTAATATTATCACTAGATTTGATAATCTGTTAAATTATTGTTGGACTGAAAGTTATTTTTAAATTGTTACTAAATGTTGTTTCTGAGTTCTATACGTAATGTTCTAATTTAAAATTTTGTCTACAGCTTTTGATATTTTGCCTATTTTCCTTAAATTGACAAGGATTAAAATGTATTGCCAAATTACCATCTGCAAGGCTAAATTCTAGTTTCATCAGTATTGTATGACTGCCACCCTATTACTTTATTTTTTTATTTTTTTTTATTTTAAGACAGGGTTTTTCTATGTAGTGCAGGCTGGCCTTGAACTAACTGCATATCCAGGCTGTAGCTCAGAGACTCACAGTGGTTCTTTGGGTCAGCCTCCCGAGGGCCAGGGTTACAGCTGTGTGCCACTGTGCCTGGTCACAGTCTCTGTTTGGACATTATCTGTTATTTATTTAGTTTTAAGTCTTTGTCAAAGGGGTTGACCCAAACAAACAATAAATCTTTATTATTTAAATTTGAATTTTTTGATTATAATTGTGATAGAAATTTTAAAAGTTTTATTAGCTATTTATTTTCTGCTTAGTAATATTTTATAATTTTCCACTGACTGTTAAAAATTTTCTATGACCACTTTTATAGCGGACATAACAGTCATTTGTTATAATTTTATAAATATATTTGTCAGTGTTTCTTTTTGTTGTTGTTCTTACTTGTTAATTTTTTCTTTTGTTTTTTGGTGCTAAGGAATGAATTTAGGTCCTTGCTCATGGCTACTAATTTTCTTACTTTTTTTAGCCAAAAGAAATTTGAAAAATTTCTGTGGTTTAAAATTTAATGTTTTCCTTTATAATATATTCACAGATTAAATGACTAAACTAAATATGAAATAATATAAAGAGGTTAAACTTTTTATTTTTTTAAATTTTCAAAAATGATTATTTTTTAATGTATTTTTAGTACAGGGTCTACAGGGTCTCACTACACAGGTTGGACTTGTAGTGATTCTTACTATTTTTCAGTCAGCCTGGGATTACAGGCACATGCCACCATGCCCAATCTCAGTCGCTGCCTCAGTGCACCCAGGAGCAGGGCCAGCACATAGGCGGGAGGTCAAACCCCTGGCCCTGCATCTGTTTGAGCAGGGGCTTTAATCCTCTGAGTTATCTCGCTGGTCCTTCAATTGTTTTTAGGTTAAACTCACTTAATTTGGCCCCTTGGAGCTCTATAAAAGTACACGATTAGTGTTTCTCAAGAAAGTCTTGTATAGATTGATTGGGCCTCTATGTTCAAAGCTTCCTAGGGGCCTTTTACATTTTGGGATTATTTCAATGTCTAATATTTAAACTTATGTGTAGCTAAGTATTCTTTGTATTCTTGTGTTGAGTCACCATTAAAGAGTAATTATTTTCTGTATAGACACTACTATGAAATGATTTGTTCTTGGAATGATCTCCAGGTCCAGAATAATTCCCTTCATTACTTGCAGATTAAATCCCTGGTTTACTAAGCTGTCTATGATACTATGAAGCTCTGATTATTAGTGATCTTAGCCTTTTATTTTTCCTTCACTCCACCTGGGCCACCCATTCCTGTGCGTGTCATTACAAATTACTGCAGCCCTGTGTTGTTGTAGTGTTGGAATCCTGATCATAGCGATCAACTATTCCGTCTTTCCTGCTCACACCGTGAGTGTCCTAACCCAGTCATTCTTCAGAACCTGGCTAGACCTGTGAGACACACAGTCTAATATCTTTATGAAATCCTTAACCTTCTTTGATGGCCTTAATTTTCCATTCTAAGGAAAGCTCATGGTCAGTCAAAATCACTGGCATATATGTACTCTGGGTTCCTTTTTTTCTCTTTATCTTTGTCAGACTCCCTTGGCCAAACCTTAATTCTACTTGGAGTCAAGCCTCCACTCTTCTGTAGATGGACACATGGATGTGACTGCAGGAAAGAAAAGGGGTGTGCTAGAGGTGTCACACGAAACGCATAGTCACTAGGCAGGCCCTTGCTGCTGCGTGGTAGCTGGGCCGGATGTCCTTGCTCTCATCGTACCACCTTACCTACATGACTGTTCTATAGCGTCTCTTCTCTCTTCAAACGTTCAAAACATTCTCTTCTGTTTTCTTAGCTCATAACCTTGTTTCTTATTTTGTAAGAAATTTGAAACAAATAAAAGACAACTTCCACATACCTCTGTCACACATCTACTCAAGCACCCCTCTCCTTTCCCTGCCACATTTGTTCCTGTCTTCTGCTTCCCGGTCCTTGCCATGAGAACTCTGCTCCTACTTTGGGCAACTCCTTGTGGTGCCCCACTCCCATTTCTCTTTGTGGAATTGATTTAGCAAGTCTCTCACACAGCATCTTTTTT